AATAATAATAATAATAATAATAATAATAATGATAATAATAATAGTAATAATAATGGTAACAATAATAATAATAGTAATAATAACAATAGTAATAATAATAATAATAAAATGATAAAAAATAACAATAATAATAATAATAATTCTAATATTAAAATTAATAAACTTATCGAAATTCCCAGATAATTCTTGTTTGTAATACATTTTTCATTATTAAAATTTATAATTTATTATATTTTAATGATTATGAAATTTTAGATATAAGAATAAAAATTTTCCAATTATTATTTAATATATCCTGTAATTATTTAAATTATTATTCAGGACATGTATACGTAAAAGGATTGTATGATGAACAAGGATGCCGTAATGATGAAGGTGGTCGACAGGTAGCTGGAATTGAACTTCCATTTGATACCTGTAATGTTGCTAGGACACGATCATTAAATCCACGTGGTATTTTTGTCACAGCAACTGTCGTCATTTCATTTCATCCATTGTTTGTTACAAAAGTTGATCGTGCATATCGGGTACAATGCTTTTACATGGAAGCTGATAAAACTGTCAGCACACAAATTGAAGTTTCCGAGATTACAACCGCATTTGCAACACAAATTGTACCAATGCCTGTCTGTCGATATGAGGTTTTATTTTATTTTATTTTATTTTTTTTATTTCAATTAATTATAAATTTAAAAAGAAATAGCAATGACAATTAATTTGAAAAGAAATATAGTTATGCATATATTTATTGAAATTTAAAATTAAAATTACTATTAATTATTAAATTTTTAATTAATCCTAACAAATGAATTGAAAGGATGAAAAAAGAACTGGGAAATTTATATGAAAAATTTCTTATATCAATGAATTTTTTTTCTTTTTTGTAGATTCTTGATGGTGGACCATCAGGACAACCAGTTCAATTTGGTACCATTGGACAACCAGTATATCATAAATGGACATGCGATTCAGAAACTGTTGATACATTCTGTGCAGTGGTACATTCATGCTTTGTTGATGATGGTAATGGTGATAAAGTAGAATTATTGAATGCTGATGGTTGTGCATTGGACAAATTTCTTCTCAATAATTTAGAATATCCTACTGGTATGTGGTTTTTTCTAATAATTATATATAAGAAATGATTTATTAATTAATTTTGTGGAAAATGAAAAAGTTTTGAAAAATATTTTTTTTTAACAATTATATATAAGAAATAGTTTTATTAGTTTTGTATTAATT